AAAAATAAAAATATTTTAATTTTCTTTTATAACATTTTATTAAAATAACTTAACTTTAAAATATTTTTTATCTATTAAAATATTTTTTCTGTTTAATTTTTTCCACACCAAAAAGGATAAACATTAATCTCTTTTCATGAACACCAACACTCCGACTACACGCAGTCACACTAACGGCAAATATGCTTCCACCCCAGTTCTAATGGATCCCAAAGGCACCATTGTCTTTTCCACCATCAACAGGCCAAACTATGGCTTCGATGTCTTATTCGTCCAACTAAACCACATCACTGCCGCCATTGAGGACCGCCTCACTAATGGCTGCTCTGTCAACTTCAACGCCCAATTCGTTGATGAAGACCAATCCATTGTCTTTGTCTCTGAAAGATCAAGATCGCCCCGAATCTATCTCACTCGCCCTGGCCTACCCAATCTTGAGTAGCTAGCATCCGTGCCCCACAGCCTCTTTCACGACCATCCTATCCTAAAGAACAACCACCTCTACTTTGTTTCAGCTCAAGAGTAACCCGATCGCCAATTCCAGAGCTGGGCAGCTCTTCACTCAACTGAAATCGATGATAAGGATAAGAAAATTACGCGGTTGACCCTTTACGAAGCCATCAATTATAGCCCTACAGTTTCCAAGTCTAGGAAATTTCTTGTCGTCGCATCTTATGGGTCTCACTCGTGGGGCGGTGAATTTCACGAGCTCAACATGGATATAGTTGTTTTCCCAAAATCCGACTTGAGAATGATGACGATGATTCGAGTGATGGCGAAGATGATGAATCAAATGCTGAGAGTGATTTGTCCAACAATTCGTTGGCTGAGGTTGATTCGGACGATGAAAGCCTCATCCCCGTCGGTGAGAGCAAAGAGTGCAGACAAAATTCATTTCAAAATTGAAATTCATGGGTTTAAGAGTTGAAATTGAAATACACGGACTTTACTCTTTAGAATTACTTTGCTGAAATGCATGTATTTCACGTAAATCCAATTACTTTCTGTTTAGGTAAAAATAAACAGTGATCTTGAATTTTAATCTTTCAAATTCAAATATATTCTTTCAAATTCATATTACCAAGCGTACCAATATGGATTTTGATTTGGTCTCTAAATTAAAAAAAACTCTTTAATTTGGTCCCTAATTATTGTACAAACCCTGATTTGATCTTACTTTTATTAATTTGTCTTAAGTTAGTCATTTCATATAAAAAATAATTGACGTATTTCGTTATTAATATAACATTTGATCGTTAAATAACAAACACATCAGTTATTTTTTATATGAAATAATCAATTTGAGATTAAATTACTAAATAATAAAAATCAAATTAAGATCCGTGTAATAGTTTATGAATCAAATTAAAGATTTTTTTAATTCAAAACTTAAATCAAAGATTTATATAATAATTTAGAAACTAAATTGAAGATTTACTCTAAATTTTTAGTAGCAGTTTTTTGCTACGTGCC